CGATAGTTCCCACCATCATTGCTCTGGTAAGTAAACATACCACACTGTGGACTACGAACGAAATCGGCGTCCAAGGTTTGTGCTGGCACGGATTTCTCATGCGTACTAGCTTGACGTAATAGTGAGCTACCCGGGCACATTTTTTTCACAACGTCTCTTCGTGAGTTTTTGTGAGTTCACAAGGCAAGTACCAAAGGGTTGCACGCATTCTGAACGATTTTAATTTATTCTGCGAAATTCCATGCATCAGAAATTATCTGTTCAAAACCTTTCACTGTTGTCCTAATTACCCACGTTCTGACGCATGATTAGGCCGTCCATATGTGGTAAGGCCTTAAAAATTGGTAGAGATAAGCCAGCACAGCAATGGTGCATGAACAATGTCATGGAAGACTGCGCTCATTGAGGCAGAGCTTTGGAATTTCTACAACCTTGTCTGTGAATACGGTAAGTGTACGACACATTCGTCATACTCAGAGCCTTCACAGTAGATCAGTTCCACCAAATGATCAACGATCAGTAAACGTGCGCACGGTCAAAAAACGCACAGGTGAACGGAGTGACCGTAGTCCCATTATCTCATTCATTTCATTTACGTTTGACAACGAGTCCTAGTTTGGATCAAAATGATACAATAAACATTTTACAACTCAGTGTACGCCTCATATATGATAATTTTGGTGCGCCTTCTGCAATGTGGCTAGATTCACTTTGTTCCCACGGAAGGTCACGAAGCCATGCAATGTGCAGTGTGGTTGCCTCTATTGTTACACTTTACTCTGCGATCCACCTGGGAATCACGTGATTCCGTAACGTCAAAAAGCTTAAAACATCTTCGGATGTCCCCCCACCACACACACACCCCTACAATTCCCGGAGAGTTGTCGCACATATTCATCCTATATTACTCACATTCTGTGAGCGCTTCACACTGACGCAAAAGTCGAAATATTCTCCAATTATTTTACTGAGCTGTGAAGAAAAGGCCACATTTTTCAAAGCAATTTCACCTCCTTGCCAAATTTTGTGTCAAATTGCCAGTATTCTTTCTGCAAAGTGAGTTGGCATGTTTCGTTGTTTTTTCATGAAACGTCTGGTTATGGGATTTCTCAGCGAGGAATCAAAAATGCACCTAATCTTTATGTCCCCACACCCGATCACGGTCTGTCTCGGTCATTCCGTATCGGGCTGTGCGTGCGTCCGCGGGCAATAGGGTTCACACGAAGGGATTGTTGTTGGACTGGGACACGAACCAGTCGGTAATAACTGTATGCCCCTGATTAGGAAGAATACAAGTCACTGAACTGGAACGAGCTGACTGCAGTTGTGTCAAAACGATTTACAGGCCAACATTTGAAACACAGATCAGCAAACACATCGGGTCGGTCAATGATTGCGAAGTCGATAGCAGTTCGACTAGTCACGTGACATCTGATGCGAGTGACCTGCGGCAGAACGTAAATTCTCGCTACACAGTTCCTGTGTGTGAGACAGATACATTATTCGTCTGGCCACAGATCGATTGTGAAGGGCTACGGTGATACTAATTTGTTCATGCACCCCTTTCCATCCGGTCTCACTTCGACCTCTCGTTGAACCACGACGATGTGTCCACACACTGTTGGCATCCCCCTGCATATCTGCGTCTGCCAGTTCTTCGAAATTAGTCCACTGAAAAGATAATCCCTGGTACCATGGTTGGGCATTGAATTCTCATCATAAATCGGATTTTCTGAGGCGGCGGACACAGTTAAAGATTCGTAATGGTTGATAGATATTC